TTTTTTCCCTTATTCAGAAGGGTTTTCCACGTAAAAATCTTGGTGTCATTGTTACTCTTTTATTCTTGTTAATTACCGTATCTCGGTGCTACATTATTATTCCGCTTTATTACCGTGAATATTATTTTGGTAAGGGGTTTATTCCCTACAACTGGTATCAGAGCACAGGTTCTGCTCGTTCACTGAAACACTATTCACTGTCGGTAGTACTATACTTGGTGAATTAATGAACTTTATTCACTGTCGGTAGTACTTATTAAAAGTAATTTAATAAACTTTATTACCTATATTATACTCTTTGTTCACTTTTACTTGACATATATGCTCAAAATAGATTTACATTTTTACTTGACAGTTTACCTATATGGCTCTATATAGCTTTTAATATATAGTAACACAGTTTAATGTGAACACCAAAGTGTAAATAAATATAGTTGTCCTAATATATGCCAGCCACGGTCTTTATAGTTTCCTGCCTCCTTCCACCTTTACCAATCCAATGCTGATCACCTCCCTCTCCCAGCCACTATTACTCTTTATTTTATTTATTTGTTTATTTTGTCCTCTGAGTTTGAGCCGGCTTTGCCTCTTTCTGCAAATATATATTCGCGCATGGATTAAGCTGCCGAGATTAAATAATCCACCTTTCTAATATATTTTTTATGCCTAAGAATTCGACTTTCCATATTTTACGCCGTAATTTGATCCCTAATCTAGGTAGGTTAAGACTTTTGTAATGATGCCTTAGTCAACCATTAATTCATGCTAATGTCACATATTCCACAAAACCTCCGGTTAATTCTGATGATTGAAGTTAATTTTGTCCCTTAATTAATTAGATAAGAGATCTAGAATTCGAGCTTTAAGAATAGACAAGTTTTTGGTAGAAGTATTTTACCGCTTCAATATGTCTACTATCCGACACGAATTTAAATTAGTTTGACCAGTAAATTTTGAATACCAAATAATTAAAATAAAATAAAGTACCACGTACTGAATTCCATAACTGAAAGCAAGAAATCTTCAACACAACAGCTAATAGGATATGCGTACAGTTCAATGGTCTAGAATTATCAACGAATCTAATGCTTTAACATGATTAGTGAGTAATTTAAGAGTAGTGTCAGCCTTTAGTACAAGACTTACGTGGATGGTTGACAAGTAAGTTATATGTGGTATTTCTAATGTTCCTTCATTTCAAATCGAACAAAAACAATTGCTAGTTGTCCTAGTTTCCTCCCGTAAAATAGAATTACCTTCTACAACTTTTTCTCACAGCGTAAATGCAGAGACGAATTCAAGATATAGAATCACCTAGCAAATTCAGAATGAGCGTGATCAAAATAATGTAAATTATTATATTTTAGTTTTCATTGACTTTGAGCCGAAAGCATTAGTTAAGTTAAACTCGTAGAATTTGCTCCCCCATCTGTGCCTCTGCCTAGATGAAGCTCTTTTGATACGTGTTTAGTTTTGTTGCCATGGTCATGTGTGTAATAATTTAATAGTAGAAATTATTTTTGCACTAATATACCCAATGAAAAAGTTCTATTNCCCCAAACCCCCTTTCCGCATAAAAGAAAATAAAAAAAGGGTGTAACTAGCTAGATGAGTTTTATAGTGCCAAAATAAGGAATTCCGCTACATATGGATGTTTCAAGAATCAATATCGTATATATATTATTCGGAAAGGTGTTTAACTGACAATTCCTTCATGCCACTAGAGTCGATCATGCAAATTCTCGGTGTTTGCAGAGTAGAGTGTATTTTCTATCATCTTGGAACCTGAAGTTAGTTTTTACTGTGTATATATAATTTTATTCCTGAAAAGAGCAATAATTTGGATTCATAGCATGTACAGCTACTTCATAGAAGTATGCACAAGAGAATGACTCTGACAGCTGTGAATTAATATGGCACTTTCGAAATAGACCATACATGTACGTAAATATATGTTATATACCGCTAAAACCTAATATTTTACTTATATATGTAATGTAATTTTTCGAGGAAGGGTGGTTAGTTGACCACTCTTTAGGATGTGTTGCTTCGCCCCTGCATGTACATAATTTATGTGAGTGTTATGTTGGTTGGCATTGGTCGGTAAAAGAATACGTCTTTATCTCATGAATAGAAGGATAAGCAAGTCACACTATGTTTATAGATACTGGATAATAACTAGATGAGTTTACAATTGTAGATAATGACGAATAGCATGGATTATCACTTAGATAAAACCTAGATTGAAGCACAACATGTACAAAATTGAAGTAGATCCACTGCTTAAGACGTATGTCTTCAAAAAATAAATATATGTGAAAGAACTCTTAGATTTATATAGTCCAGATAAAGGAGAAAAGTTTTGATTTGCTGACATCCACGTAAAACTTACCAATTCACGATGAATCCCCACTACAAAAAATCGAAATTATTGTGGCGGTTATATTACGGGGTTCCAAATAACCGTCACAAAATATAATTAAAAATGGCGTTTTACCAGCGGTTGAATTAATTTTTTTTTATAGTGGCCATTATTTCCCCTCTAATAACAAAATTGAATTAATTGCAGCTGAGGTAATGCATTCCCCTCTAATAACGCTGGAAACATTTATAGTTTAGCACAAATTGAACTCCCAATTTTCTAACTTCAGATTCTTCTATTTCTCCCAATCTGTTTCTCCGGCTAGAAGAATCGAGATTCAAATTAGAAAACGTACATGAAATTCATTTAGCAGCTTCAATAATCTCAGGTAATGTAGCGATTAGGGTTCATGTTTAGTACCAAAAGTTCTTTTTCTCTTTATTAGGGTTCATGCATATAGCGATTTTTCCCAATTTTTTCTAATTTTTTTCCTCAGTCCGATAATCTATGATTCATTCAGTCAATTAAATATATAACATCCAAAATAGTAATCTATTACTAGAAAAACATTAATTTTCTAATGGTTTCAGTTCTTTATTTTTTTGAGTCCATTTTTTGTTATTTTTCTATTCAATTAGTTTGGTACTTCTTTAAATGTTTGCTGCTTTGTTTGGTATTTTGATTGCATGCACTTAATTTTGATATTTTAATTTGTTGTTATTGCTAATATTAACCTAAATATTATATATGGGCTTGATATGTAGCCGAGAGATCAAAAACTGTTGGTGAAGCTATTGGGATCGACGTCGACAGTAAAACATTTGAGAGGTATCAGTTTAATTTTGTCCTTTCTTTTGAGCAGATTTCTTTTTATTAAAAAGTAGATTGATTATTTCATTTGTCACTAGCGGATTAGCAGAGCTTTCTGCTATAATAGGTTCAACTTATCTATCAAAAGGTTACCAATTGTATAGGTAGAAAGATATGCCATCCAACTGTAAGAATCTGAAGTAGTAAGTTAACTGTTTGACACTGTGTATAAGCAAATTTTTTTAGAGAAAAACTTAGTTCAGATTAAGTGGATATATACACTAATTATTGCAGGTTATGTTTTTCCTTAGGCTTTATGAATTTTGAAACTAAAAGCAAAAATGCAGGAATAATCTGAAGTTAAAATTTAACTGTACAAGAAACCTAAATAGTACTTTCGTTTCAAGTATTAATAGACCATTTCTTAATTTGTTTACCATTTAAAGAGCTGTATTTGACATTCAACAATTCTGGATTTGAAGAGGTTACAATATGAGGTTGCATTCAAAATTAATTAATGTAGAAGTGATGTGACTTTTCATGTTAATTAAGTTGGCAATGGCTTGTCAAATTAATTAATGGTCTTGTATAATAGAATTTCACCTATTTAATTTGTAGGAGCGTTTCAAGAAGAATGCACAGATTCGAAAAAATCAACTTCCTCATACTTGTGGTGCTATGAGTTTGGCTAAAAGAAGGGATGCAATGGTAGTTTAAGCGCTTAACTTAGATAAGATATATGTTCTCAATTAATTACTAACATTATTCATTTTAAAAATTTCAGAAGGCGATGGGAAAAGCTTTTGATCGAGGCAAAATGTGGACTGAGACTCATAAAAGGAAAGATGGGAGTTATGTAACTGATGAGGCTAGGGTGATTGGGGTAAGTAACATTTTTGGTGCCTTCTGCTGTGAAATTATATTTTAATTTTAGATTGGTATTGCTTGTCTAACGGGTTTCCACAAATATTTCCACTAGCATTTTGATAGTCTGAGATGCATGATAGGTTGTTGGTGACAATATTTTTTGCTGTGAGTTTTGATGTTGATATATATGAAGTCATTTAGTGCGGTTTTTTTGTGTTCTACGGAAATGAGATCTTCTGCTTCTACGGAAATGATATATATGAGGTGATTAGTGTTGTTATGTTAGCAGATTAGCGTTAAATGGGATCTGCTGCTTCTACGGGAATTTTGGCTAGACCATATGGTATAATTTGCATTTCATTTTGGGATGTGGTGTTATGGATCTGTTAATGGTTTGATTCATGTTTTAGCTAGCAGTTTAATGTATAATTCTTGTCATTTCCAAGTTACAAGCACCTTCATATTGCTCAGTTTATGCTTCTTCAATTTTTGTAGGAAAGAATTGAAGAAATTCGAACTGAAAGAGCAGAAAGTCTTGATGAACCTTCACCAAATGATGCACTTGGCATAGTATTCGGTCCTGAGCACCCCGGTTGTGTTCGAGGTTTAGGCTTGGGTGTAGTTCCAACTGTAGCATTCAAACAAACATCTGGGAGATACCGTCGTGGTTATGTGGGTTCATCTAGCACTACCGCTCCAACTCCGGCGTGGCAGCAAGAGATGACAGATGTGAAATCAAAATTAAATGCACTAATTAGCTTATATGAAAGGAACATAGAGAATATCCCCGAGGAGTTTGCTCACTTATTTTTCATTCCTCCACAGGTATAAGTTCTCTTGCTACAGTAAAATTTTAGTTACTTGCTTTTCTTATGGTT